TCGTGCTCAGGGATCAGAAATTCTCCTTCATCTTACTCACATTAATGATTGGAGGATTGAAGTTTCTAAGAAAGCAACAAATATAGGAGCCAATAGTGTCACGTTAGAAGACCGTCGACAATCTTATGTGGGGCTTCTGGTCCACCATCTTGGCTACTTGGAACTGAGAGATGTATGTCTACTTAATTGGAGAGTGTGGAAGAAACAAGGTTTAAGTATAGGCCAATATTGGAGTTCTTTTTGATTAATCCGCTAATATAGGTCTCGTGCCTTGGGCCTTTTCGGTTATAAGTCAGATAAAGCCTTGTAATATGAACTTTGTATCTTGTTAAAAATATATCTCTACTAGATGGAAGGAGAAAAAAAAAGTAACTATTGGTTGGACCATTTTACTTGGTTGCATTAGTTTGAGTGGGTGCATTAACATGTCTAAAATTTCCGTAAGCGTCTCTGTTTTCATCCAATTTCTAGTATATTAAAAAGTAGTGATCTAACCCATCTCTATCGGATTCCTAGAAATTGGGAATTTTTCGCAACGCACTCTCTCTCTCAATCTCTCTCAAAGCTTTTTCCGATTTCGGCGGCTATGGCGGATCTTTTTCAAAGAGGCATTCCTCGGATGTCACTGGGAACGTATTAACGAGAAGAGAAGAACTTGCGGAAAGGCTTTTCTGGAAGGTGTTGATTATGTGGAGAGATTTTTCCGTTGGACGATCACTAGATTTAGAGATATGGTGCTGGGTAAGATATTTCTTCTTATCCTTGCGTTTCTCTCCTGGAATGGGAGATGCGTGGTGAATTTCTGCAAGAGAAATTTTGAGAAATGCCATTCAAAATTTGTACAAAAATGATAATTTTTCAAAATTACTCATTATATTATTTATGTTTGTGTTAATTATGTTGTATCAGTGTTTAGTTTTGAGGGTTTAGGGGTTTTTAAGGATCAAAACATTTTTTCGGATTCAGAATTTGAAGATTTAGGCTTTATAAATTCATAATTAGTGGCATTTTTGTAAATGATCAACTCATAGTGGCATTTTTGAAAATGTACACACCAAAAATGATATTTTTGCAATTATCCCTTTCTCCAATCAATGGCTAGCTAGATTTCGAGTTGGGATTGAGTGTTTTAGTAGGATGCGTATATCTATGAGGCCTTGTGGAGGAGGAAGAGCTTGGGTAGTGAAGTTGTGCATCTTGACAGCAAGTTGATGATGAAGTTGACTTTTGATCGACTGATGTAAAACCAAGCATGACATGCTTGAGCTATGCTAAAGTTCACAAAGAGCAGCCCAATAGCTGAAATCTCCGAAGAACCGGTGCCAATCAAGAATACACCAACCAAGAAGACGAGTGGCAAGGTGATATATAGTGTTACTCAGACTGTTGGTGATATGTTTCGGATGAAGCAGTATAGCCAGGCTAAAGAGAGCACGCCAGAGATAGCAAGAGAGACTAGCAGTGGTAGGAACCATTTTTTGGGATGAAAGTTAGGTGACTTGACGCAAACAAGCCCTCGAACAATGAGAAAGATGACTATGCCTAGGATTCCCAAACACTGCAAGTAACAAAATACTGTGCAAATTGCTCTGCGAATCTTGCGGTGATAGTTTGTGCGGGAATCAATTTATGTTCCAAATCCTACAAAAGATACAAAAGAGTTTGAGTTGACCAAGCGAGTAGGAGAGAGAGAGAAACACCATTGAGAAGACAAAGATGGGTCACTTTTTTTTTAGGCTGAAGTATTGATGTTTTTCTTTTAAATTTATAATAAATAAAAAAGTTTACCATAAAGTAACTATTGGTTGGACCATTTTACTTGGTTGCATTAATTTTACTCATCTTAGTATTTGTAGTTTAGTACCTAGATGAAAGTTCAACAATTTTAGTGTTTTACCACTCAAGTCTTCATACACAATTACTCTAACTAATACATACAACCACTCAGATTAATGCAATCAAATTATATTTTGGCCAGTACTTTACACGAATTAGTTCCAAAAAACACATACATGCATGAGTTTGTTGATTCATTGGTTGTCTTACAATTTCGTATAAAAAATCGTATTTAAATTCTTTAAAATGAAAAAAAAAGATCCATCTTAGTATTGGTATGTGAAAATATATTTTCAAAAAGTTTTAACCCTTTTAGAATTTTTGCTCTAAGTCTTCATACACAACTACTATAATTAATACACCAACTCATACTCGGCTTGATTTACGTGTCCATACTTTTCGGAATCTACTATAAATACAAGAGAAGGGTGGTGAATTTCTGCAATCAGTGGGTAGCTAGATTTCGAGCTCTGCACTTAATTCTCAAAATTATAATGGGATTGGGTGTTTTACTAGGATGCCTATATCTTTGCGGAGCAGGAAGAGCGTGGGTGGAATAGTTATTCGATTGCCTTCCACGTGTGCTATTACCTACACCTTGCAGTTGTGTTCAAGCTTTATGACCAAATTGATTCTATCATAGCGGTCACCCATACCATGTTTGTAAATTTCCCGAAAAAAAAAACGTGGAGGGTTGGCTTGGTTTATAGTGTTACTGTCGTGTTCATTCTTTTGCTCTTCAAGGCAATAAGACCCGGTATGAAGCTTGAAGAGGTGGAGGTTGAGGTTGAAGAGGTGGTAGTGGGCAGGAAGTAGGCAGTCGCGACACCAGACTGTGGTCACCGGGGATGAAATTGGTCTAGCATCAACGGGTGGTACTCTGTTGAAAGCATGTATTCTTCATTAGATACTCTCTTGTAAGATCTCATTATAGAAATGCAATATGGTTTCTACTCTGTTAGCTCATGTACGTGTTTTTTGGTGTGTTTGATGTTTACAGTTTTTTTGTATGATTTTTTATGGTGTTTCCTTTACATCATATGTTTTCATTTTCCCACTTTGGAGTCTAAATTTTCTCATTAGGATCATCTTCGATTCTAAATTGCCAATGGTTAGGAGGTGTTTAAGGCTAATATATAAGTTAAGAGGTGTTTAAGGCTAGATTTGATTTAACTATTCAAATTCTAGAACTTGGACATTTCACGCACAGAGAAGGTGCTTAATCTTTAACCAAGAATAGATGCTTTAGGTGATTAGTCGACATTGTTGATGTATGCTTAATGATAGGTTACTACATCGCTTATTATGAGGATCTAAATAGCGCTATGTTTGATGCCATAAGAAGCAGAGACATGAAACATAGAGAGCTACTAAAAAAAAAAATTGTTTTACTTTTTAATTTCACTTAGGCTTTTCTGAGCTCATAAAACTCTATAGGTTGGAGATTGTTTAGCTTCACATAAAAAATGCAGCTAGAGAACTTATATACAGACATAGTGAGACGTCGATTGATTCTGGTCTCATAATTTCCATGTTTTACTTTTCTTACTTTCGATTCCATCGTCTGTATCTGAATGCATAAACAATAAAAATAGCAATAGACCACTTAGGAAAACATTTTAACAAACAGAAAATGAATAGAGTCTCATACAAGATTGTACAATTTTAAGCTAGAAATTACATCAGTACAGGAGGACAATTCTATGTATAGAAGAGTGATAAGCTTTGAGGTACTAAACTGCTTTATTGCTTATCCTCCAACCAAATACAGGATAACTTCTAGATCTCAATTAGCCATAGAAACTCATAATGTTGCTCATATATACTCATATCGTCTGTTACAAACTCACCAATCAAAGCATAAGACTCAAAGCATATAGACAAGATATGAAGAGAAGATATGGCGTAATCCAATATATAAAAAGACGATTTGGAGTGATCATATCTTG